GAAGTGCTCACTAACACAGATTTAGACAGATTTGTGAACAATATTTGAGAAAAATAGGCCTTTTGTGTACATAGAAAAAGTCTTAGATCTTTGATTTCAGCTCATGAAAAATGGGGGCAAAAACAAAAGTGTTGCATTTATAATTTTGTTCAGTGTATATATATGCATCACATTTTGTGTGGTACTAATGCATTGCATTGTATGTATATGCACACTATATTTAACTTTTTCTCACTCACACATTTGAACACCACAAAATTACCATGGTACTTTCTGTTCGTGAAACTGAAAGTTTAAATCGGTTTATATTTCTTTATCAAGTTACATACACCTACATATCCCACACAGCCTACACACAAACGGATACACCTAATGTAAGTATAATATAGGAACATTACATAAGACATGCATAATTTAAGATGAAAAATACTGCAGATATAAGCTTGGTTCTTCCTGGGGACACTAGAGGCTTATATTGCCTAAAGTCAAAAGCAAGGGTTAAAAGTTAAAGCCCTGTAAACATCTAAACAGCTCATTTATGTTTAAAGCTGATCGACACCAGGGTCACGGACATGAATCCTCCACGCATTAAGCAAGCCATTATGGAGCAATGTGACTCGCTTGCCAAACGCTACTCTGAAGTACTGCAGTATACAAATAGAGCATAAATTTCAGGCCTCGAGCCTTGAAAGCACAACTGCTGATCTCAAAAGGATTATAAGGTTATACTGTGAACTAATGAGAGCATGTGAGCAGGGGGTTTGGCTCTTTTTTAAGCAAAGCTTGCCTCTCGGTGCTGATTTCTCCTTGAGTAGAGGACGGGGTTCTGCTCTGACAGATCATGTAAGGCCTCAGACTGATCACTTGCACATGAGTGAAGCATACTGCAGGTTAAAGCCTCAAGCACACAGCGATTTTGGCAAAGATTTGCTGTCTGAGACAAATTTCAAGAATATTAAAGACTTCTTTCTTGTGGGGCAAAATCAGCAGCCTTTGATCGCTTCATTTGACATGCTCCCCAACGGCCAATTAATTGACTTTGCGATGGATCTTAACATCCAATGAAGTTCTGACAGTTGCAAAAATTTTGGGTCACAGCTCTGAAGTATGACTACTAATAAAGAACTGACAGGAGCACAGCAGCTGAAGTAAATTACCATTTTTAATAAATTATTTAAATATAAATATTAGATGAAAAGCTTAAACTTAAAAATAAACAAAAATGAAAAATGTTGATTTGGCAGCTATCTGGAATACCTGTAAATACATTTACGGTAAGTTGAAGTACTAAAATGACTAAAACTAAAACTGAAATAAAAAATAAAATTAAAGCTAAATAAATAACAGGAAAATTCCTAAAACTTAAAGTGAAATTAAAATTAAAGCGTAAAATAATAAAAATAAAGCTAACTCAATGTATGAATAAATACTATAATAGTATATAAATAATACTAAAATAACTCCAGGCCAAAGTCCCAAGATATATATTTCAAGTTTGGAGAAAAAAAAAAGAAGAAGAAAAAAAAAAAAAAAAAGAGTAATGAAGCACAGTCTGTCTCAACATGGGTGGGAATTTTTAGACTGCAATTTTTCACATTTTGGTTGACAAAAACACACAGATTAAAGTCTGTCCTGACCTGGGATGCCGTTTGAGAGCTGTGGCCGTTCCTCATCCTCTTCTTCCTCAGGGACCACACTGTCCTTGCGGTCCATCTTGCTGACAGAGGTTGTTCGCTTTCGTTGGACTTCGGTGCCATAATCCTCCTCAAACAAAACCTGGTCGACCAGGTCAGGCTGAACCAAGTTGGGCTCCGCAGGAGGTTTGGGAGTGCCATAGAAGTTCCCTGAGAAAAATGAAGAGTGCCTTGTTTGAAGACAAAAAAAAAAAACCTCTTTTGATTCATGATACCTTTGAATAAGTCATAAAAGTAGATACTTTGAAACTTTAGAGGTGTGATTCAACGTTTTTGCTACATTAGCTTTGATTTAACAATCCACAAACCTCTACAGTTTGATGAAACAGCTGATTCTGGAACACTGAGACAGGAGCTGCCTGCAAATTTATCTCTTTATCTCTACCTACGCTTACTTCCTTAGTCCCCGCTATCTCAAAAACGCAGGTGTCGACGATCCAATATGCAGTGTGAAATGTTATACTCTTTCCATTCGGTGGTGCCTTGAAAGTAATTACACTCACCACTGGATTCAGTAATGAAACTTTTCCCACTATCTTCTCATGCAAAAATCAGTTCATTAATATGCATCATAAACAATGGTACAGCCAATCAGTGGAGCAGCATAATGTATTCAAATGAATTTCTAATTTGGTGGTACATGTCAATGTGTGTGTATGTGTGTTCGTATGGGTTGAAGGGTTATGCTTCATTATTTCCCCTTGATGTAAGACTAAAGAAATCACTTTCAGTATGATTAGATTCAACCAATGGAAAGACATTTTTTTCAAATCAACTGTTCAACCTTCACCAATTATACACAAGATTACTTTAAATTATCCAAATTTGATGTTTTGTTTGTTCGCTCCCTTCATCCTGAAAATAAATATGCTGCCCCTAGACATCATTAACATCTCTCTATGAAAAAAAAACAGCTTTTTAAGGTCACATATTCATCTTTTGCCAATGTAAAATATAATCCTTGTAATCAGTCGAAAGATTAATTCTTTCCATTTTAGACTGTAAATTCTAAAGAGTTTAATTAGCAAATAGAAACTGAAACCATGTGGGAATAGGCTTTTTCACAAGCAATTAACTACTGTTGACAACTTCGCTCACCTCTCGTGAATATGCAGTGATGAATATTCACTCTATCCCTCACTGTCTCTCTTCATTATACAAATGAGACCTCCTGATATCCAGTGTCACAGTGTAAGGAAACTTTCTGTGCTGCTACCATAACATTTGTTACACATTTTGTGCGTCATCATGCAAAAACATCATGTTTCCAAAACTATAGTCTCACTGAGAAAGACATTTGAACATCGGCGTAAATTCCGGTCCAGTTTGCAGCTTATTCTGGCGAAGAACTTCACAATTAGATGGGAAGAGATGCTTGAATATTTAAACCAACTTAACCACAGTTTGATCTTGTTGATGTGACATAAAGAGGCAAATAAACCTACGAAGCAGCACAACTGTTTTCCCACACTGATGAAAACAAGAAATGTTTATTGTGCAGCAAGTCTGCATAGTAGAATGATTTCTGAAGGATCATGTGACACTGGAGTAATGATGCTGCAAATTCAGCTTTGACATCACAGGATTTAATTACATTTTCAAATGTAGCCTATTCAAATAGAGAAGTTTTGTTTTAATTGTTATCGTATTTCACAATAGAGTGTCACAGTGTAAGATAACTTTCTGTGCTGCTACCATAACATTTGTTACACATTTTGTGCGTCATCATGCAAAAACATCATGTTTCCAAAACTATAGTCTCACTGAGAAAGACATTTGAACATCGGCGTAAATTCCGGTCCAGTTTGCAGCTTATTCTGGCGAAGAACTTCACAATTAGATGGGAAGAGATGCTTGAATATTTAAACCAACTTAACCACAGTTTGATCTTGTTGATGTGACATAAAGAGGCAAATAAACCTACGAAGCAGCACAACTGTTTTCCCACACTGATGAAAACAAGAAATGTTTCTTGTGCAGCAAGTCTGCATAGTAGAATGATTTCTGAAGGATCATGTGACACTGGAGTAATGATGCTGAAAATTCAGCTTTGACATCACAGGATTTAATTACATTTTCAAATGTAGCCTATTCAAATAGAGAAGTTTTGTTTTAATTGTTATCGTATTTCACAATATTACTGGTGTACTGTATTTTTGATCAAATAAATGCAGCCTTGGTGAGCATAAGAGACTTTCCATTCCACAACTAGAAGAGTTGCAACATACTGTAATGTTGGATGTTAGACTTACTGTACAACTGTGGTGTACTGAACAACTTCTCTTCACCAGCAATGAGATGAAGACTTCTTCAATCACAGATAAACACACACTTTATTATATACAACATGGTTTGTAATAAATGCTAGGTAAGTGCTTGGCTAATTAGAGCCGTTGCATGACGCTTTAACCCTGATTAATCACAACATACGCACTCAGCTAACCATGAATTAGAAGGTATGCTCTACACTCAGAATCAGAGCAGATGTACAGCGTCATCTGTCGCCAGTAATCTGCAGAGAGCCGTATAATCCCACCACGAGGGAAACGTTGTCCCTTTATTTCATACCAAGTATACTACAAATATATTTACATATTTATGTACTTAATACTGTAAAAACACGTTGCAATTGTACGTTTAGTATACTAAACTGGTATAGTTAAATCTGCTAAATTGGAACAACGAATTTTGTATTTATTGCACTTTAATTGTGTGGAAGTAGTGCTGAAGTCCAACTAAAGATATACTCAAGTATATTTGATTGTGCTAAGGTGGACCTACTGCAAGTATACTTCAGGTACACTTTAAATATTTTGCATTTAAAGACTGATATTATTCAAAGATCATACAATCCTCAACAACTAGTGACATCAAAAAAACATTATAGGCATAATATTAAGAAATGTGCATTGTGCACAAGTGGCACTCCAAATAAAGTTGAATTATAATTTTTATATCAGTAAGTCTTGAGCGACATGTCAGTAAATATGTTAATAGATTTGAACCATACTTAGTATGAAATAAATGTATTTTAAATACATTACTTTTTTGCTAGGGAAATCCAAAGAAAAAAAAAATACTTTTTTCCCCCCAATATTTGTTTGCATTTTCTTTGCATATTTTCATAAGTACAAATATACTTATATCTGGACTCAGAATTAATCTCTATATACATATATATATATAATATTATTATTATTATTTTAAATGTCTAGATTCCCCCCCCCCATGTATAACAGCTCTAAAAATAGAATTTTCATTATCCAACATATAAATACTTTATGTATTTACAGAATCAAAGATCATCTTTCTTTAACCTGTCATTCAGTGAGAATTATTCCAAGTGAGCACAGGACATCTATCCATTCATTGGACTAAAAATGATGTTGATATGTGACTCAACAGGCAGTAAGTACAGTGTATTGTGCCACAGTCTATTCATGTTTACAGATCGCCCCCATTGAGATTCTTTATGTCTGTGTGCTTTCAACGAGCGCTAAATCTTTATTGATCAGGATCAACTCTTAATTCAACCAAGCTTGCTTAGACAGGATTACATTAAAAGCTGCCTTGAGGGTTGTAAATTTATCCACACTACTGGAATGAGGGAATCAGAAATGCCTAGCATCTGTTTGCTATTGCTCAAGCATGACCACAGAGAGACAGTAAATGTTGTAAATCTATATAATGCTGTCTCAAGGATAAAATGTCATTGCAGTAAATATTTTGTAAAACCGGATTGTGACTTCCTGATGGTGAACTATTCCTTTAAGGAACAGTCTGCCGGGATTAGTGTACGTCTGTGTGTTAGCATGCATGCGTGTGTGTCCTAGGATCAGAAAGTCTCCCTCTTTGAGAGCAGAGCACATATGGGCATTTCCTACTGGCATGGCTCCCTGTCCCAGCAGGCTTTGCCTGGCATGAGTCTGGTCCCACTGTCGACATGGGGCCACAGTGAATGCACTCGCCTGGCACGCTATCTGTCTCTCAGGACAGAGACATCCAAACCCACCAGACTGCAGAGGGGAGGATAAACACACAAAGCTTTTTTGTGCTTCATTAATGAAGAAAAAAAGAAAGTGCTCTGAAAATAAATGATATATAGCATTCGAAAGAGTCTCTTGTGCTCACCAAGGCTGCATTTATTTGATCAAAAACACAGTAAAAAGAGTAATATTGTGAAATATTATTACAATTTAAAATAACTGCATTCTATTTAAATGTATTCTAAAATATAATTTATTCCTGTGATACAAAGCTGAATTTCCAGCATCATTACTCCCGTCTTCAGTGTCAGATGATCCTTCAGAAATCATGCTGATTTGCTGCTCATGAAACATTTATTATTATTATTAGCAATGCTGAAAACAGTTGGGCTGCTTAATATTTAAGTGGAAAGAGTGATACATTTTTTTCCAGGATGCGTTGATGAATAGAAAGTTCAAAAGAACAGCATTTATTTGAAATAGAAATCATTCTAAATGTCTTTACTGTCACTTTTGATCAATTTAATGCCTCCTTGCTAAATAAAATAATATTTTTTTAAACTTTAAAAGTCAGTGCATGCGCACGTGTGCGTACACACATTTTGTACATAATTTGTTTACATGTCATGTTTACACATATTTACACATCGTGACCAATTTACATATTATAAAAAATGAACAAATGGACAGTAAAAAAATAACTACACACCTTTGTACCTTATTTACCCCTAAATGTCTTTACTGTCACTTTTGATCAATTTAATGCCTCCTTGCTAAATAAAATAATATTTTTTTAAACTTTAAAAGTCAGTGCATGCGCACATGTGTGCGTACACACATTTTGTACATAATTTGTTTACATGTCATGTTTACACATATTTACACATCGTGACCAATTTACATATTATAAGAAATGAACAAATGGTCAGTAAAAAAAAATATTTTTGTATCTTTGTACCTTATTTACCCCAAAAAGATGCATTTTAGAACCTTAAAGGTACATATTTGAACCTCAAGTGTACATATAAGTACCTACAGTAAACAGTACAGCTTTTGTACCTTTTTCTGAGAGACACACAGACGCACAAGATAAACTATTTTCTAATTAGCTTAGCATGAAAAGGAGCTAGGTATTGCTTTTTAACTCCTTTCATAGAACGTTTGTTGAGGGAAAAAAATATTTTGTACTCTATTTGCAGAAAGACTGCCATTTTTGTCTTCCCTATGTGTCCTTTTTCAGCAGTTTACCTCAAGCCCTGCAAAGCATGTTTGTATGGTATAAACCTGTGCTAACTGACTCTGTAACTGCCTGTAAGATTTGGAGGCTAAATCCATAGTTCATTTTTTAGGCTGCACTGTCATGGAATTCTTTTTGGACAAGATAAATGCCTCGAGGTGCTGGTGACAGAGTTCACGTCAGTCAAGTAAACAACATGACTATCGGATCTTTACACTAGAGGTGCATTTCCAGAAATGGCAGTGTTTGACAGGCAGCATAAGAGTAGAGTTAAACTTAGATTTCATGGTCTCTAAACGAAAAAAGCTTCATTGCATTCGATGTGAATTTCACCTGCCAGGTGAAAACCATAAAAAGAAACAGCACACCTCTTCTCAACAAGTCACATGATTTGAGAGATCATTCATGTCTGTTTGTATAAAGAATATCAGTGTTTCATACCATCATATGTTCCGCTCTCCAACAGTAATCCACTCTCTTCCAGGATGCGAAAATCCCCCACACTGATGAAATTATAGTCTACTCCTGGAACCTCCCCATCTCTGGGCAGCCGGGTGGTACCTTCCAGTAAAACAAACACAATTAGAGACAGTGAGAATATCCTACACCCACAATCCCCTTCACTGCAAACTTTGTGTCTGTCTAAACGCAGCCTCAGATTGAGCAAAATTAAAATTGGATTCCCAGCATTTCCTTTTAAAACAAGTGCACTCCACTTGAAACTGTAAATAGAACTCCCATAGATGAGATTTGGAAACTTGGATTCTGAATCTGGAACTGAGAATCTGGATGGATTATATGGAAATATAGCCAAAATAAGGGGGGTGGTTTTGGCTATTCGCAAGGCTTTAAAAGATGAAAAAGCACATGCTTTAACATAATTCCTGTGAAAATGGTCTGGAAACACCACACGGAGAGATGTACTTATTAGTCAAATGGTGTAGAACAAGGACATATTACATCATATCAGAGGAAATCTTGTGTTATTTAGTGTTATTCAAGCATAGTGTAGTCACAGATTGCTCCATTCACAAGGGAGTTGGTGACACAGAGGTGGAAAGTGTGCACAGACTGCATAAAATTAGATTCAGTCTCCAAAGCATTCTGCATTTTTGAAAACTCTGTCTGCAGTGAAGTAGTCTTTAAAATATACCATATTTTCACCCTTTGGTTGCACAGCCCTGTCAACATTCACTCATCCTAATGTTGTACCAAACTTGTATGACTTACTTTCTTCAGCTGAACACAAAAGCAGATATTTTGCAGAATGTTCAAGCTGTTCTAAAAGAATATCGTGATCTGGGACTGACTAAAGCTCCAAAAAGGGTATAAAAGGGTATAATTTTTCATGAACATCAAAGAGTAATTCTTCATTATTACAGAGGAATTTATTCAGAATTCTTTTAAACTTCAAATAATTCAGAAATGAAACCAAATGTGTTAATCTAAAAGTTTATTTTTAGACTGTTCGACAGCTGGAAAATAAAAGCTGATGTCTACGTTTATTGCCAGCGATAAAATGCACAGCTAAACAGCCTCCGCTGGCTGTATTTCAAGCTGTTTAAATGGGTCACTTTCTCTCAAGTCTACTTGTAATATCAGTCAAACTTTCTTTTTTTACATCCTAATCTTTGACCTTTACAAATGACAAGTATAAAACCAATAAAAATGTACTGATTAAATGTGAATGCCAAGTTAGTCACTTTGGACAAAGGAATCTTCTAAATGCATTCTAAAAAATATCTTTGTTGGTGTTCAGCAGAAGAAAAACAGTCATATGGATTTAAACATGATGACAGAATTTCCATTTTTGGGTGAACTATTAATGGATGTCTGCTTCTTCACCTCTAAACCAAGATAAAAATGTTAATTCTGTGTGTTTAAGCCTGCGTGAGTGTGTTTGCTCAAAAAATATCAAATATAAACCGTACATGTTTGGACCTAATTTCAGAGGTGGGTTGTTTAGCAGCAAAATCCTCATAAGAGACATCCGAGGGTGGTATTTCTTGCGAATAAAAGGCCAAAAATAAAAGATGACATTTCTCGGCTCTGTTCGTGTGAGTGCTAGGAAATGCCATTAGGCTCTTCTGTCATTTGAAGGACATTTACATTAGAACCAGCAAACTAAAAATGCCATGTCAAGTGACTGCGGAGACTTGACTCTAACTTAAGAGCAAATAATATTAAAAACGGGCTCCTTTATATTTTCCTGAGAGAGCAACTGTTTAAATGCCACAAGAAGAGGGCAATGGCACTGGTTACAGATATGTGAATATCCACTGGCAAGGTTAAAAGGGGTTAACTTGTTCCAGATCCATAAAATAAGGATAAAGAATGGAGGAGAATGAAAGAAGAGATGCTCCTGCGTTTCCAGCCACATTATTTTCCATGTCCATCTGAAAGACTATTATGAATTCTATTTTAATAAAATAATACAATATTTTTACATAGTTTGTTTTTTAAAGGAAATTAATGCTTTTATTCAGCAAAGACTCATAAAACTGATCAAAACTGACAGAAAAGACATTCATTAAAGATCTCAAATAAATGCTGTTCTTTTGAATTTTTTTAATGCAAAAAAAGAAAATTTCTTAAGCCATAAATCGCCATATCAATATGATTTCTGAAAATTAAGTTTTGCTATAACAGGAATAAATTATTTTTAAATATATTGCAATATAAAAAATTTTTTTTTTTTATTGTAATCATTTTTTCACAATATTACTGTTTTACCATACTTTTAATCAAATAAATGCAGCCTTGGTGAGCATAAGAAACTGAATTTTTACGAAACACACGGCGGCCTAGCGTGAGCTGAGGCCGGGGTAGCGTAAGCTGAGGCCGGGCTAGAGTGAGCAGAGGCGGCGGGCTTGAGAACGGCGCGGCCGGCGGATTCGACGAAGGAGCGGCAACCACATGTGACGATCCCGGGCTGGACTCCACTTCGTCCACGGTGAAAGCTGATCCGGCGATCCACAGCACTAAGTTGATGTATTGCCTCAGCGACCAGCACAGATCAGCTCTAGGCATGACGAAGCAGATATCGTCCTCTTTTGGAAGACCAAACAAAGTAGTTTCGCTTTCACAATGAAGCACACAGCGTCTTCACGACATGGCGGCAGCGGCAACAACAATACTACAGCGAGAATAAAAGTTACGCCTTCTTTCTTTGCGTGAACATTTGGGCGGCGTTATGCAAATCTTCCCACATAGTGAGGTAGACATGTGGGGGCGTGTTAGAACGAGCCGTTTTAGGTAGGCGTGGTTAACTCTTAACTTTTATAAAGAATATCTCTTTGGATTTGAGACTTTAGTCTTTGCAACTTTACGGATCTTCTTTATGCACCAAGAGCTTGTAAAACTCCAAAGAGAAAGGAAAAATTTAAATCGCATCATATGACCCATTTAAATATTCTCTCATAGTTAAACTATCCCAGACTTTTTTTTGCAAAATGCAACACCTCTTCCGCAAACGCATTATGTCTTTGCGACAAACCGTCTCAATAGAAACTAATGCATTCACAGCTGTCTGATGCAGCGTAAACTCTGGTGCGCCCAAAGTCTTGTAAACAAAGACTGTGATGCTAGCAGGTTATGTAATAACAGCCAGTTACATCTTAGTCGGCCTCTGAAGTCAGTTTAATCACAGGCCCATTCTAAAAGAAGTCCGCAGATCCCCCGGGCGAGCACCTGCTCCGGCTGCATTCTGGTGGAGAAGGGATATGAGTGGCACCTTAGGCTGCTCTTTATTCCTCTCCGTCAGAGGAACTTTTAAGAGCTTTTGTTCATAGCTCCATAAAGCAGCTTTGTGACTGCAAACACTGGAGGCTCTCTCTTCCTCCAACTCTTTTTCCTATACCCTGCCGTTTCAGGCTCTTCTCATAACTTACTGACTAAGGTAAAGAGAGAAAAAGAGAGGGGAGTAACTAGACCAAGAACAGAGTGACCTAAGGACAAGAGAAGAAGATAATATGCTTAAATTGGCATCCAGTGGAAATTCTTTGTCATTTTAATTTTATTAAATGTAATTTTCCATAAACATCAAAGAGCAATTCTTCATTCTTTGGGGGGAATTATTCATAATTAATTCTTCTTTTAAACTTCAACAATTTCAGAAATAAAACAAAAATGTGTTAATCAGAAAGTTTATTTTTAGACTGTTCGACAGCTGGGAAATAAAAGCTGATGTCTAACATTTATTGCCAGCGATAAAATGCACAGCTAAACAGCTTCCGCTGGCTGTATTTCAAGCTGTTTAAATGGGTCACTTTCTCTCAAGTCCACTTTATAATATCAATCAAGCTTTCTTTATAACCTTGTCTTTCACCTTTACAAATGACAGGTGTTTTTTTTGTTGCTGTTCCTTTAAGAAGTCTACGTAAACGCCCTCTGCACACGTGACACCAGTAACGGCGCTTTGCTGCGCTTTTACTCGAGAGCTGCTTGTTTGCTGTCAAGTCTAATATGGTTTGCACCGCCCCAGGCTGCCTTCAATAACAGCCTCTTTGCAATAGTATTTGATTTTGACAGCTTCACAAAACAATTGGTGATGAGCGTGATGATCATGGATTGTTAAAAATAAACTTTAGCTGCTTATTTTTAATTCTTATTTGCTGCTCAAGAAACATTTCTTATTATTATCAATGTTGAAAACAGTTGTGCTGCTTCATATTTTTGTGAATAATATGATATTAGAATGACTTCTGAAGAACCACATGACACTGAAGACTGGTGTAATGATGCTAAAAACTCCATCACAGGAATAAATTACTTTATTCAAATAAAGAAAAGTTACATTGTAATAATATTTCACAGTGTTTTTGTTGTATTTTAGGTAGTGTATATCTTAATCAATTATCAAATGTTTCTTTGATTTATCAAAATGTATTCAGGCTTGTTTCAGGTTCATTTTGGTTTTGTCACAACTTGCATTAAAATTAATTTGTATATCAATAACAAATACATTTTTCAGGTTTGGTGCATTCTATAACAAGTTACAATTGCTTAGGAAGGTATGTTTTTCCTAAAAAACAGACTGAAATGATTTTATGAAACAGGAAAACAGATTATGCTGCAGGTAGCATGCAAGAAAGAATTTTTTTTTTTTTGTGGTGAAATGCCACATACTAAAGTGTCGTAGTAAATTTGCCCCCGTTTCATGACATATTTGTCAAAGTCACTTATCAAATTAGACTAAATAGGGAATAACAAACTTGCTGAATGAGAAACTAATGAGTAGTGTGCTACTGCTTGGAGAAGAAACATGCTCTCAGAAAGCTACTCCACAACTCTCAAGAGAAACAGCATCTCATGCGGCGCATCACAGAGGAGAGCTGGCGGTGCGCTGCAGAGGGCCAGACCAACACGAGAGATTTCGCCTGAGGAGAGGCTCTGTCTCCTCAACTACACTAACAGACACACCAGTGTGAGAAATGGCCAAAGGATTCACTCTAAACACCAAATGGAAAAAGAATGAGAGGTAAGATGAGATAACCAGACTGCCAGAAAAAGACAGAGAGGACATATATATATATATGCTTAAATGTAATTACCACGATCAAGGTCCAGAAACGTAACAAGGAGATTGGTAAAGTAATCCCATGTGACATCAGTGGTTCAACCGTAATTTTACGAAGCTACGAGAATACTTTTTGTATGCAAAGAAAACAAAAATAACGTCATTATTCAACAATTCGTCTCCTCCGCGTCACCCTGGTGACACGTTTCTGGACCTTGATCGTGGTACATCTTAATCAATTATCAAATGTTTCTTTGATTTATCAAAATGTATTCAGGCTTGTTTCAGGTTCATTTTGGTTTTGTCACAACTTGCATTAAAATGAATTTGTATATCAATAACAAATAAATTTTTCAGGTTTGGTGCATTCTATAACAAGTTACAATTGCTTAGGAAGGTATGTTTTTCCTAAAAAACAGACTGAATTGATTTTATGAAACAGGAAAACAGATTATGCTGCAGGTAGCATGCAAGAAAGACGTCGATTTTTTTTTTGCGGTGAAATGCCACATACTAAAGTGTCGTAGTAAATTTGCCCCCGTTTCATGACATATTTGTCAAAGTCACTTATCAAATTAGACTAAATAGGGAATAACGAACTTGCTGAATGAGAAACTAATGAGTAGTGTGCTACTGCTTGGAGAAGAAACATGCTCTCAGAAAGCTACTCCACAACTCTCAAGAGAAACAGCATCTCATGCGGCGCATCACAGAGGAGAGCTGGCGGTGCGCTGCAGAGGGCCAGACCAACACGAGAGATTTCGCCTGAGGAGAGGCTCTGTCTCCTCAACTACACTAACAGACTAACACACTAACAGTGTGAGAAATGGCCAAAGGATTCACTCTAAACACCAAATGGAAAAAGAATGAGAGGTAAGATGAGATAACCAGACTGCCAGAAAAAGACAGAGAGGACATATATATATATGCTTAAATGTAATTACCACGATCAAGGTCCAGAAACGTAACAAGGGGATTGGCAAAGTAATCCCATGTGACATCAGTGGTTCAACCGTAATTTTACGAAGCTACGAGAATACTTTTTGTATGCAAAGAAAACTAAAATAACGTCATTATTCAACAATTCGTCTCCTCCGCGTCACCCTGGTGCCGCAGCTGACACGTTTCTGGACCTTGATCGTGGTACTTACATTGCTGTCTATGCAGGGTCTAAGCTCTCAGAATTCATCAAAAATATCTTAATTTGTGTTCCAAAGATGAACGGGTTTAGAACGACATGAGGGTGAGTAATTAATGACAGAATTTTCATTTTTGTGTGAACTATTCCTATCTAAATCTAAAATAAAATAGTAAAAAAGTAAAATTAAAAAAAAATTTAAAGTTAAATTAATAAAATAAAAATTTTTAGTAAAATGACAAAATAAAATAACAAAATAAAATCAAAAGTAAAATAAAGTACAATAAAAAGAAATCTATTCATTTAATATATTTGATATGCATATGTATTTAATTATATTTTCTATAATGTATTTGACAGGCTCTTTCTTCATAACTAAATGAATAGACACACCAGTGTGAGAAATGATCAAATAATTTTATTGTATTTTTTTTTAATATACATATTTGTTCATTTTACACATTTTATTACCATTACTGGCACTTCTTCAGTATCAGTTTTTTCATATGTATGAAGAAGCTTGTTTAAAACAATATTGCAAATAAAACATGTAAGTACATTTTAATAAATACATTTCATTTAACAAATAAATATGAATATAAAATAGAAATGAACTGACTGACTGTGTGTCTGTGTGTCAGTCTGTCTGTGTGTGTGTGTGTGTGTGTCTCTGTGTGTCTTACATGGAATGGTGCGCAGGTACAGGTTGTCTCGAATCACTTGCTGCAGTTTGTGGTCGATTGATCCTTTTTGGAACTGCAGACTAAGATAATGCCTCAAATCAGCATTCAGCACTTTACCTGCAGAGAGAGAGAGAGAGAGAGAGAGAGAGAGAGAGAGAGAGAGAGAGAGAGAGAGAAAGGCAAACGGAAATTTAGAAAACCTATCAGTTTATGGAAACAGAAGTAGGTACGGGATACGTTACTGCTCGGAGGTTGCTCTTTCATAAGATAATGAGACTTAACGGGCTCTTAGCCCATTTAAAGGGGTCCTATTATGCTTTTTACATTTTTTTATTTTAGTCAGTGTGTAGTGTGTATGTTTGGGCATTAAAAAGATCTAGAAATGTACAAATCTCAAAGTCCACTCCAAAGGGAGATATTTCGTTTTTTAAAAATCGCTTTTCAAAAACTACAACGAACGGCTCGTTTGGACTACAGCCTTTGTTTTCCGGGCTTTGTGATATCACAAAGTGGCTCATTAGATTTGTAATATCATTACAAATAATTCCCGCCTACAGAAATTCGAATGGTTGGGGGGTGGGGAGGGGCGAGGTTGGGGTTAGAACGCTTGGTTGAGTGAGTGCATCAGACGAGACGACGAAGAAGAAGTGCTGCTGCAGAGTTAGTGCACTGCATCAGAGAAAACCAAGAAGAAGAGCTGCTGTGCTGTAGCGTCAAATTTTTGGCATGTCTAGAACAGCGGTTCTCAATTCCAGTCCTCGCGTACCCCCTCTCTTCACATTTTGTATGTTTCTCTTATTGCTTCATAAGTTTGGTATATTTGACTGTAAGTGCCCTGCGAAGTAGACATTACTGGATATTCCTCCATGATTCCAGTTTGAAGGAAGCGTATATGTTATATACAAAAGGGCATTTAAGTGTGCGAGACGTGAATTTAAATTGTATTTATTTACAGAGGTATATTATGTCCCACTTCACGCTTCTCTAGTAAGTTTCGTTTTTGTGTGTGAAGACGCTGCAGGCAGCGGCGCAGCAGAGCAAATCTGTAATCTGTAAATGAATATTCCAAAGTGAAGTAAATTTCAATGGATTTCCCCTGCTCAGGGAGTAGGGAGCAATGGACACTGTGTAGGGACCATGTCAATCGGAACAGTTCATGCACGGAGCTCACTTTTAACGAGCTGATGATCTGAATCAGGTGTGTTAACAAAGAGAGACATGCAAAACATGCAGAGCGGGTTTACGCAAGGACTGGAATTGAGAACCACTGGTCTAGAACAATTCTTACAAATACAACATGACGTAGCTGGGTGCCGCGGACAGACGCCGAACGGCGCCGCCGGTGTGCCTACACTCATAAGTGGACATTACCGGATGTTCCTCCATGATTCCAGTTTGAAGGAAGCGTATATGTTATATACAAAAGGGCATTTAAGTGTGCGAGACGTGAATTTAAATTGTATTTATTTACAGAGGTATATTATGTCCCACTTCACGCTTCTCTAGTAAGTTTCGTATGTGTGTGAAGATGCTGCAGGTAGCGGCGCAAATCTGTAAATGAATATTCCGAAGTGAAGTAAACTTCAATGGATTTCCCCTGCTCAGGGAGTAGGGAGCAATGGACACTGTGTAGGGACCATGTCAATCGGAACAGTTCATGCACGGAGCTCACTTTTAACGAGCTGATGATCTGAATCAGGTGTGTTAACAAAGAGAGACGTGCAAAACATGCAGAGCGGGGGTACGCAAGGACTGGAATTGAGAACCACTGGTCTAGAACAATTCTTACAAATACAACATGACGTAGCTGGGTGCCGCGGACAGACGCCGAACGGCGCCGCCGGTGTGCCTACACTCATAGAAAATAATGTATTTGAATTTAAAAGACGTGGCGCGACGCTGCGCTTAACGTCCGGTGTGCGACCGCCTGAAACGCTGTTTTTTTTCACCTCCCTGCCCAAACGTCTTTGTTTGGGCTTCCGAAAGCGGATGATGTCAGGAAACAGTGGTTGCAATTTATTTTTTAACTCTGTTCCTGAGCATTATAATCCCAATTTGCTATTGTGTGCTGCGCATTTTACTGAGGACAGCTTCCACAACACGAGTGAATAGTGCCGGATTCGCCAAACGCTTTTGTTGAAAGACGGAGCAAGGGGGCGTGGCAGTACTGAAACACCGTCTAAGCTGTTCGCCAATCACAATGCACTGGGACAGCTAACCAATCACAACACATTTTGTTTTTTGGAAGGCGGACCTTCATCAAAGCCGGAACTAATCGAGCCGTTTGTGCCAGGATGGGGAGAAAGGTATTTTAATAATGTAAATTATGTGAAAAATAATGCGTTTTTCGAACCACCAAGCATGAGAGCATGTTCTAGTACACCCCAAAACAAAATCAAGACTTTGTAAAAGAGCATAATAGGACCCCTTTAAAGCATAAAACTTCTGAGAGAAAAAAAAATCACATGATTGAGTCTAAAAATTAGACATTTGGTGACATAGTAAAAGTATAGAGCTATACAATGAATATGAATGGTATAGCTCTGTTCATTTGATCAAAAAGTTATTAAAAAACAATGTTAAGATCTCTTGTGAAACCTTAGGAGACACAAAAGAAAAATCTAAGAAGCATAAAACAAAACTTATGAAACATGTCAAATTATGGAATTAAAATAGAAGCAAAAGTTCCATTTACTCTCTGGCTAGGAAAGAAAAATAAAGACATGTCATACGTGATCCTGCTTTCCTACGGGTACATTCACTGTACGAATATACCTTCTATTAGTGCCCAATTGCTTTTCATTTTCTAGGACTAGAGTGACATCTTACTCTGCACATACACACGTGCACACCCGGTGTGAGAGCCAGCTGCACAAAACAACATGGCGTAAGTCTCTTATAAGCTTTGCTAACTCAGAAAAGACTTCACAAACAAGCTGACACAGTGTCGAAAGCAACTGTGAAAAGTGAAACCTAATGAAAACCCTCCACACAGAACTTTTAAAAGCCTCACTTTCCCTCTTTCTGCCAAACTCCAAAGAAGCAACTCTGGGAAAGTTCACAGAGAGTTAGGGAAAGTTGCTCTGCAGAAGAAGACAGAGGATGTTTGCTGATATAGACTGAGGGTGGATGAGAAAATGAAGGGAAACAGAGAGAGAGAGAGAGAGAGAGAGAGAGTGTGAGTCCAACCGCACAACTCGAGGGAGGAGAACAAATGCTATTAAAGGGGTCATATGAGATCACATTTTCTTTGATCTTTGGTTAAAAAAAAGGAAAAGAAAAAAACGTTTATTAAAACATGCTTTAAATGTAAAAACCAACTCATTATAAAATAAATGATTATGTCAAAAATCCACATTCACAAAACATATCCTTCCGAATGATCTCAACATTAAAAAAGAAGTTCATTTTCATTTGTAAGTTTAATTTTAAGATTTGTGATTTATTCTTAATGTCCCTGATCATTTCAGTCTGGATTTACCATTCATATGACACATTTCAATGCAGATTAGTTTATTAATCTTTGACAATAATGTTCAGTTTTTGTAAGTATTGTCAGATTAGTGAACAGATTGTTCTTTTGAGTCTGATCTTTTTTTAATGAACCTATTTTTTTGCATCACTTACAAAAATATAACATTTACCAAAATAAAATACAAAAATAAAATAAAACGCTTACAAATAATTACAAAAATAAAACAAATACAAAACTTACAAAAATTTAATTAAATACAAAATTAAAATTAATGTACACAAATTGATGCACACTTGTTCATATGTGTTGATTCTTGTTTACAAAATAAGGTAATACAATACAAAAAAACTAGGGATGCACCGATATGAAAATTTTGGCCTAAAAAAACTCTTAGGAAAATTAAAACAGAATACAAACATAAATAAAATAAAATTAGATGCATAAGTTCATTAACAACTGCTTGAAAGAATGATTTTTAGAATTAAGTCTTTCCATCACTATAACAGATAAACAATTGCACCTGACTGCAAAAGGTCCAGCCAAACAATGTTACTTATTTCATATTTAAAGAAAGTGCTTACATAGTCATATTTTAGTTTTTCATGGGCATTTGCCACCACCTCTCTGTTTGAAAGAATTTGTCGCTGTGGCTTTAAGAAATACCTGCTTTTGCATAAGAAATGAGAAGCAGCACTAGCACTGCGTTCCAGTGCTCTCACACCAGCTTATGGGTTTGCTGTTGTGTGAAATAATTGTGTAGGTAACAGCTTGCATTACAATACAAGATCACAAGACAGTCCACACCGAAATGTGCCACACAAACTGTTAAGAGCAGACTTTTTTGGACTAGGGAGAAAGTATTGAAAGTTACAATATGTTTTCATGGTTCATCAAGCTCTTTCATCTTAGAAGTTCAAGGAAAATTAGATCGCTCATGATAAGAATTAATTAAAGGAACAACAGAACAAAACAGGGTCTATGAACATGAAAATAAATAAATGATAAAAAATGTATAATATGACGCCTTTAAGAAGAAAGTGTGAACGTGTGCAGACAGATGCCACAAACCACTAAAGCCCTCACCCATAATCTCCTGTCTTCACCCCTGTGCCATGCTGCCAGTCCTCATAAAGCACCATAATCTCCTCACAAACACAGCGTGACCCGTTCTGTGTCATAACCTTTGGGCGGAAAGGCAGGTGTCCCCATTAGAAGTCTTGAATTAAGCAGGATTACCAACCACGAAAAACTGAAATATCACATCATTCTAATTTTTTTTGACAGGGATAAAACAGGAATTATAAATGTTTTGACATGAGAAGCAGATATCAGCAGCGTTTTAATGGCTTGATGACTTAACGTAACTGGGAGATGAATGCCGTTTTTACGCATGAACATAGCACTGCTTCAGCCTAGAATGCTATAGATACTGCTGCTTTGAGGAAGGACGAGAACACTATGCTGTTCCTTAATTAGATTTCATTATGGACATATTTTACCTGAGATGGATGGGTCAGTTTAAAGGCAAAGCAAAGCAAAGCAAAACAAAATATTCTTGTGCTGATTCTTGTTTACAATGTAAGGTACATGTTACACTTAAAACACACATACTCACAAAAATTAAATACTTAACAAAATAAAA